CAATATAAAAACTCATAGATCAAAAGTAAAGGGACAGAGAAAGATAAATCATGCTAACACTAATCAAAAACAAAGTGAGAGTAGTTACATTAATTTCAGACAGGGCAGACTCAGAGCAAGGAAAGTTACAGGGATAAAGATGGACATAACATGATGATAGAAGTGTGATTACTCCAAGAAATCATAATAATCCTTAATGTGTGTATATATATAACAACAGTGTAAAAATACTTAAGACAAAAACTAAAATAGATGAATACATTATAGTTGGATATTTTAACACTCCTCTGTCAGTAATGGACAGATCTAACAGGCAGGAAATCAGTAAGGACATAGTTGAACTCAACAACACCAAGAGTCAACTGGATGTAATTGACATTTATTGATTCATTCATCCAACAGCAGATTCTGCTCAAGCTCACATGGAATATTCATCAAGTTAGACCACATTCTGGTCTAAATTGAAGAGAGAAGATATCATACAATGCCTACTTTCAAACCACAGTGGAATTAAACTAGAAATCAATGATGGAAAGATAGCTGGAAAATCCCTGATACTTGGAGATTAAAACTACTCTTCTAAATAACCTATGAATCAAAGAAGAAATCTATATTCATTAAAGAAATTGAATTAACAATTAATAACCTTCCAAAACAGAAACTCCAGGCCCGGATTGGGTTTACTGGTGAATTCTACCACATAATTAAGGAAGAAATCACACCAGTTATCTATAATCTCTTCCAGAAGATAGAAGCAGAGGGAATACTTCCTATCATATTCTATGAGACCAGCATTACCCTAATGCCATAACCAGTTAAAGACATTATTAAAAAACTACAGATTAATATCTCTCATGCACATTGATGTAAAAATCCTCAACAAAATATTAGCAAATCAAGTTCAAAAATGTGTAAGAAGAATTATATAGTATGACCAAGTGTGATTTATCCCAGGTATGTAATGCTAGTTCAACGTTCAAAAATCAATTACTGTAACCAATCACATCAACATGCTAAAGAAGAAAAATCACATGGTCACATTAAAAAGAACACTGACACAATCTGACACAATCCAGCACCTATTCATGATAAAAGCTGTCAGCAAACCAGGAATAAAGGGGAACATCTTCAACTTGATAAAATAAACATCTACAAAAAAACCAACCGCTAACATCACCCTTAATGGTGAGAAACTCGAAGCTTTCCTGCGAAGATCAGGAATAAGGCAAGGATGTCTACTTTCATTACTGCTTTTAATATGATACTTGAAGTCCTAGCTAAGATAACAAGACAAAAAAAGGAAACAATAAACGGCATTCAGATTGGAAAAGGAGAAATAAAATTGTCTCTGTTCACTGATGGCACAATTCTCTATGTAGAAAATCTAGAAGAATTGATAAAAAGTAAAACAAAGAAAATATCCTCCTGGAATAAGTGATTATAGCAAGATTGCAGGATGCAAGATTAATATACAGAAATCAGTTGCCTTCCTTATACCAGGAATGAGCATGCGGAATTTGAAATTAAAAACATACTACCGTTTACATTAGCACCCCCACAAAATGAAAATACTTAAGTATAAACCTAACAAAATATGTACAAGATCTATGTTAGGCAAACTACAAAATTCCAATGAAAGATATCTAAAGAGAATAAAATAAATGGAGAGAGATGGCTTGTTTATGGATAGAAAGATTCAAAATTGTCAAGATGTCAGTTCTTCCCAGCTTGTTCTATAAATTCAACACAATTCTAATCAAAGTCCCAGCCAGATATTTAGTGGTTAACGAGAGACCAATTTATATGAAGATTAAAAGACCCAGAATAACCAATTCAATATTGAAGAAGAACAATGTTAGTGAGGATGTGGAACAAAAGGAGCTCTCTTTCATTCCTGGTGGGAAGGCATAATGGTACAGCTACTTTGGAATACAGTTTGGCAGCTTGTTATAAAACTAAGCATACTCTTTAACATATGAGCCAGTAATCATGCTCTTGGTATTTACCTAAGAGTTGAAAACATACATCTATACAAAACATGTATATTGATGTTTGTTACACCTTTGTTTCAATTGCCAAAACTTAGAAACAACCAAGATATCCTTCAGCAGGTGAGTGGATAAACTGTGGTACATGCAGACAATGGAATATTATTCAGCACTAAAAAGAAATGAGCTATCACACCATGAAAAGACATGGAGAAAATTTAAACGCATATTTCTAAGTGAAAGAAGCCAGTAAGAAAAGGTTGTATGACTCCAGGTATATGACATTATAAAAGGCAAAACTATGCAGACAGTAAAAAGATCAGTGGTTTCTGGGGAGTGGGGAGTTTGGGGGTAGAGGTAATTAGGCTTTTAGTGAAACCATTCTGTATAATACTACAATGGTGGATACATCTTATTATACATCTATTGAAACACAGAGACTGTATAATACCAAGAGTGAACCCTAATATAAACTATGGACTTCGGGTGATAATGATGTGGCAGTGTATGTTCATCAGTCATAATAAATACATTCAGTGTAGTGCACGATATTCATAGTGGGGGAAGTTGTGTGCAGCGGGAGGGATACAGAGGGCACGAGGGGAAATCTCTGTACTTCCTGCTCAATTTTGCTATGAGCCTGAAACTGCTCTAAAAATAAAGTTTATTAACATTTAAACAGTGTGTTATCCATGGATATCATAATCCTCTTTCCTTATATTTTCAACTACTGTGCATAATATGTATCTATTTGTTTGGACATTTGGAACAAAACCAATGGATTATGTCTCAGCATCTCTACCAGCTGGTGGCTCTCTAAAAACAAATCCATTTTCTCATAATCCCAGCAGCCAGCTGAGTCCCTAGACCAGGGTGGATGCTAACTAAATATTTATTAAAGTCTTCAGGAAAGGCAGTGGTGCGTAGGGGAAGAGAACCAAAGTGGGAGTTGGATTAACCTTGCTGGGTGATTTCCTAGGCCCCATAACCTTGGGCAAATCACTGAGATTTATTTTCGGATGCTATGAAACGGAGATAACCTCATCTTGTCACAAAATCCTTATAAGGACAAAGTGAGATGCACTACATACAAAACTTTTTAAATCACAGGATACTTGACAAAAATCAGCTACTCTTACTCATGGAAAATGACTAAATAGATGCTAAATCAAAAAGGAGAGAAAAGGATGGGCTGGATGAAAAAGTAGAAATGAAAAAAATTAAAGGGAAACAAAGATAAACTCAGTCATCACAATACTTGAAACGAGATTCGGTGCCTCTTCCTCCTTCCATGCATACAACAAACTGAGATATCAGACATGTTTTCTCACAATTTATCAAACATTTACTGAATACAACTAACCCCAAGCCTCGAGCTACCAAAAGGTCACCAGGCATAAGCAGTGCCCTCAGAGGGGTCTAAAGTTAGTGGAGGAGGCAGGCACGTGAAAAGATGGATACAATGGGGTGGAATCAGAGGCCCCCAAATAAATGGAACTGAGTACTTCTTGATGGGTTTCGTACAACCAGGGAAGAGATGACAACCAGAGAAGGCTTTCTAGAGGAAAGTATTCGCTACGATACATCTTGGAAAATGTAGTGGGCAGAGGAGAAAAGGGCATTCTATGGCAGAGGAGACCAGGCTGTAGAAATAAAGGCACCCAATCAAAGAAGACCTTGTATGCAAGGCTACGGAACCTTATTCCATAAGTGATGGGGATTCACTAATGGGTGTTAAGTGGGAAAGACGGCTGGATCAGATTTATGTTAAGAAGCTTCACTCTGTAGATATTACAACTGCTGCCATCAACTCTCCCAGAATCCTGTCAACTGCTCAGCCTTGGAATACTCCACCCAGCCTCTGTGAAAGGAGTCAAATGAGAGAAACCCCAAGGGGTTTGCTCTAGTCAGGCTTTGCAAAGAGTGGGGACTTCCTAGACTCTCTAGGTCTCAAAAGAAAAAACTCAGAAAGCTTGTTAATATCTTGCTTGACGTTTCACTTGCTTTGTGATTTCCCTGATCTATCCTCCAAACAAGTGAAACTCTGATCAGAAGTCTAATCTAAGCACTATAAGCTTCCAGTAAAATGTAAGCTTTATTGCCTTCTCTTCATTATCAGGCAGTCCCCAAGTAGTAATAGAGAAATTGCTTTCCCTTCTCTTCCTATCAGTAGAAAATACTTCATGTATTGGCGACAGACACACGTGGGTACCCAAGGGGTTGGTCTGATAACCCATCACTTGGCACCAACTATTAATGTTGCTGCTAATTCCTTTTGGGTCAGGGTTGACATCCATATGCAAATGCCTGAATTTTTTTCAGAATACAGATTCCATCCAGTTATAAAAGGCAGATAAATGCTATCCCTTTTTGCAAATGAATTTCAACAATTTTACATGACATTAATCTCTTTAAGACAAGGATACGTGAAAAACAAACCAAGGTCATAAGATAGAACTTTGTGGGTGCAGAACTCCTAAGAAGACAAATCATCTCCTGCTCACTAAGGGATGGAAAATGGGTCACTCTCCATTCATTACCACACTCCTAACCCAACTAGCACCCCCATGCTTTCCAAAGAGAGGATCCCTCAGCATTTGGAAAAGTTCAGGGCTGGGAACTGAGAGAAAGCAGGGTCTAATTGCTTTCTTCTCCCCTTTTCCTCCATACAACAAAGCTGCAGGTAGTCTGACTTGTGAAACACAGCATCGAGCCCGCCTTCCGCCACTCCTGCCCCAGGCAAGATTTGGGAAGGATTTTTAAACCAGCAACATCAACACCAAATGCAAATAAACTCACTGCATTTGATTTCTTTTCAAGTCACCTTACAAATCCGGTCTTTAAAGCACAGTGAGAACACTCAAAGACATAAAATGCTGCTTAGAACTCTCCTGTAGAAGCAGTATCTCCTGCTGCAAAGAGACGAAAAGGTAAATATCTCAGAGCGCTCTGGGTTCCTTACTCAACAGTCATCATATGAGCTTCAACTGAAAAAATAAAAAATTCACCAAGTGTTTAAAAATCTCCTTTAATTATATTTCCATGAATTCCAAGAAGAACATCATTGCAGGTATGTTACAAAAAAGCAAAGAGGGACATCTGAACATGCAATAAAAAATGGATTCACAGTGAAAATAATGTATGCTGGTACTAAAATATAGTTACGTGGCTCCCTGAAGGGAAAAGGTTTCTTCTAATTATCTATTCACTTGGGTTTTATTATGAGAAAATATTTTTTCTTTCTTGTAAGCTTTGGGAAGTTTCAATCTGTGCTACTGTTATTGTTAGCATCTGCCGGAAGCCCCTCATTCTAAAAGCCATTATTTGCAGTCTGTCATTTAATCAGAAAATTCAAAAGTACAACAAACGGCTTGGCAACTGTGTTCTTGTTACATACAAAGCCATTAGCAAAAATATGTAACAAAATTTAGGTAAAACAGTGTTGTCCTTATATACAAAAGTTTGTGCTATTCCTCATATACCCTCACTGCCTACTCTAAAATGAGAGGGTGTTGGGGGTGTACCTACCCATCTCCCTTGGATTCTCCTTCTAAGTGGGGTAGAGAAATCTTGAAAGGGAAGGTAACTATTTTAATCTTCTTTTAAGGTAACTTTTAAGCTTTTATTACTGAGTTATAAAAATGCATCTGGGCTTCTCAGTAAAGAAGGGAATCAGGAACGAAGACAATGGCTTTAAAATAAAGAATTCATCCCTTTGTCCTTTGTAAAAATCTCTTAACTCAATAGTCAGAGAGTGAAAATGACTACGTGTGACTGTGATCTCAGGACACAGAGTAAAGAGCATCTGAGTGAAACATACAGACGTTAGAACTCAAGCAGCTGCGAAGTTTCACATCTAGGGCATGCACGTAAGTCATACCAAGAGAGTTTACACCTCAGAGGGGAAAGATCATAGGTGCACGGGAAACATCACCCGAATCTATACACGAACGCACAAACAAGAACACATGGAGTCAAAGGGAGACGGAAATACAAGTTTAAAAATACATTTGAAACCCGATTCAAAGCCAGGGACCATATTTACCGAAAACTGAAAAAAGACATTCTACAATGGAATACCTTGTAAACATTGAAAACGCAGCTCTATGTAATTCACAGTCTCAAGAGAAAATAAATTTCCGGTTTATCATCGCTGCTCGGCTCCGTCTGCAAAACGGAGTGATCGGAACAGAACTGGTCGGCGTGGCGGGCGCGCAGGGCTGCGCACGCGCCCTCGGGGACGCCGCGGCCCTCCACGCCGCCGCCCTTGGCGCTCCGCAGGTAGCCCGCGATGTACGAGCCGGTGGAGTGCCGGTTCCCCGCGGGCGCCGGCGCCGAGGGTTTGCTTCGGAGGACCACTGCCCCCACAGTGCCGGGGGTCACGCTTTTCTGCTTGTTGGCTTCCTGCTTTTCCTTGGCACGACTGGCAATGTTGCGCACTCGGCTCTGACTCCTCGATGACAACTTCCTGACCAGCGCCCTGGGGAAGTGACTGGCATCCTGCTTGGGAAACAGCCCTTGGCAGCCTTCTTCGTGGTCAAAGGACACGAGCTTCCGCAGCTGCTCGGTCAGGGCATCCATAGGCTCTAACGACTTTGTTCTCACAGTCACACCCTTCTTGTCTCTGATGCCAGTGGTTACGAAACTCTTACTAATACACTGGTACTTGCTCTCAAAATTGCAGGCGATGTCCTCCGATGTTAAGTCCCCCAGACTTTTGGATTTGCAAGGACTGGGCAGCTTCAGAGCAGGCAGAGGAGGGTGTGGGGGCTGCTCAGGGGCAGGGGCATGCAGGTCTTGAACACTAGACAGAGGCCCAGAGGTCTGGTTCATTTTTGCATCTGAATTTGAGAAATGGTTATGCATAAAACCAGCACCCTGATAGGCTAGTTGGTAAGTATTTTGACTTTTGACATCTTGAATATTGTTGAATATTTCAGAAACAGAAGGGTGGAGAGTCTCTTTACAGTAGCCATTTCTCAAGCCTCTTTGGAAATGTTCCACTGCACCCTGACTGGACTTCAGTTTTAAAGGAGAAGCAAGGTGACTTGTGCCCTCTCTCCTATAGTCATAGGTTGTTACAGACAGATTTTCTGAGTCTCCATCCAGTTCCACGAGGCTGCTCTCCCCAGAATTTAAACAGAGAGTAGGATCTGCTATTACATCTTCCAGTGTGAAGTCAGTGGAAGTGGCAGGGCTGCGGTTCTTCAGTATTTCCCAGTCTTTTCCATTGGTGGGACTTTTCGGTAACCAGGAGTGAGAAGTATTAGAGGACCGAGGCAGGTAATTCTCCACGGCCCCCGTCTTGGCCTTCCCAGGAAGGTCATCACCTGGTTTGGTTTTAGAGACAGGAGTGTAGATATTTTCACCAACAACTGTGTGTGTTGTGCATTCAGAGGTCTTGGGTCCCGAGAATGCAATCCGCTCAGGAGATGAGCACAAAAAGGATGACTCGGGTTTTCCACTGGAAAAGCCATGCTTGAGGGGCATTTTGAGGTCCATGGTGGGCAAAGGAGGATGGCCCGACACCACACTGGTGCTCTGAAGATGAGAAACAACTGTGAGGTTAGCCTGGTCGCTAGTCTCATCAAGCTGGCCAATCAGTGCTGAGATGGAACTGCCAGGCTCATTCTCATTTGTTAAAGTGACGTTGTCAATCAGATGGGAAATTTCACTCTCCTGCAGAATCGTGGTGGAATGCAAATCAGGTATGTCAGAACAAAGTGTAGAGACATCTGACAAAGAAAAAGATGTGGCAGCTCTGCCCTTGTCCCAGTTACCTCCCAGCTTCTTAATCTCCAGGTTGCTTTGAGAAAGGATGCTTCCTGACAGTGTGCTTTGCCCTACCACAAAGTCCCTAGAATTCCCATTTTCCTTGGTTTTCACAACACCCAGATCCTGTGTTAGGCCCATTACAGGATCACGAGCCAAATGTTGCCTTGGGGAGAGAGATTTGTTGGGGCACTGGTGTTTCTCACAATCACTTGACACGTGTGACTTGGTTCTCCCGCTCTTAGGACCTGGTACCAACTGTTCTGTGATTGATAAGTTGGCAGCAGAAATGGCAGATTCCCCTTGGTCGATGTCTTTAAGGAGGAGAGTGCTGGAAGAAGAGGATGACTTTTTGTTGAAATTTGGGAAATGTTGGTTGTTGATACTTGCCTTCCCATCTCTTCTGCCATCCTTATCTTCTGCTGAAAAAAACAAACAACATTTTAAGTGACATGCACCATTTTACACAGGACCTGCCAACACTCACGTTTGTCTTCAGACAGACAAATGAAGAATGTAAATTTGTTACATCGTGACAAAATATAATTATGGATTGTGTAGATTTGCAACAAAGTGTCTGTGTGATGGATAAATGGTAAAATATATAGTAATTTCACTGAACCTTCCCTTTGAATAGCTATTACATCAGCTAAGGATGTAATATCCATTGTCAAAAAAATGTCAATGAGTTACCATACTTTTACAGTGAAGATTACCTTATGTTGTTTCCTATTCAGATTTGTACTACACAGAAGCATGGCAATAAAAACAGAACAAGACAGCTCTGTTAAACAAAGGATTGTGGTACCTGTAAGCAAGATACTGTAAGCTTTCAAAGTTATACATGTATTAGTTAAAAAAAAAAACACAGATCATATCACTTTAAAAAACATGTTGGCAAAAGACTTAATTTAACCAGTTAATTTCTAAAACAAATTGGAAGGTGCAATAAATCCATTAAAATGTGTTATCTGTTGACTTCAAAATGTAAAAATAAAAAACTGGTCACCAATTCTATGCCGTTGCTAATATCTAATTTTCCATTAATCACCTTTTTTGGTTTTAAAATAACATCTTCATTTGCATTCTCCCCTGAAAGACGCAGTAAGCTATCAGGCACAGTAAGGAAAACTATAAAAAAATACACAGTTCAAAGTAACTTGGGGCACCCCATCATGTTTAGTGTAGTGCGAAGACAATATTAGATGCTCAAGTATTCTTAATCAGATTATTTTAATATTTCTATGTTTCAGTTACGAAAATCAAGAAGAATATGTTTAGCTTATTAAATATTTTCCTAACGAAAAAAATTCATCATAAAAATTTGATAAACCCAAGAGTTTTAAGGGAAAATATAAATATTATACGATGCTCTCAGAGATAGCCGCTGTAAGCTTTTGTAGAGGGATGGGATTATGAAAAGAAATTTGTATTCTGAATTTCCTGCACTTAACATTTTTTCTACATGATAACTTGAATCATTGCATGGTTATGTACTGCTCCATATTTACCACAAGTTTTATATGTATATATTCATTTATGTATTATTAAATATATTATACTATGTAGATGAATAACTAACTTATGTAACTTTTTTAAAAGGAGGAAAGAAATACCAACTATTGCTCTCTAACTCATCTTAAAGATATTAACATTTTAATTGTGGCATTAACAGGATTAACTATATTAATTATTACCAATTTCTATTGCTTTATTTTCCCCCAAAATGGAGTTTCTTATAATTATATATTTATAAAATAGTTTATTTTTCCCCAAAATGGAGTTTTGAAAGAAATTCTAAAGCACATATTTCATTTCTTCTCTGATACTGCTCTTAGCAAAATTTCAAACTTCTAAACTCCCATTTTCTCCTTCAAACAAACCATTCAGAAATTGGTTTGTTTCCCTAGACTATCTTACAATAAAAATCAATACAAGCCAAGAGGACTTTGTGAGAAAATAGATCATTGAAATTAGATTGTATGATGAAAGAATTCTGCTAAAAGAAATACAAAGTATCATGTTCTACTGTCTGAGATGATTTTGATTTAATTAAAACTTATCTGTTGCAGAGACATCTAATGGACACAGTTCTGATACCCAAATTAACTAAAATATGGTGGGGGGAAGGAGTTAAGACACAAGGCAAGAGCTCTTTGGTACACTGGAAAGCAGGCATCACTCGTGATCAAGCGCTTGATATGAGTGAAGCATTATGTTCAAATTAGGGGAAAAGATGGGTAACGCCTGGTCCCTGTGCTTGAGGAGTTACAACTGGACAGGAGCTGCAGGCAGGCTTCTTTCCCTGCCAACACTCAGGGCTCAGGGAAAGGCGGCCACAGGAAAACACTGAGTAAGTTACCTCCTGAGGAAGCCAAGCTCTCTCAAGTGAAGAAGATGGCTTACTTTTAACATCTGGCTTTTCCTCTTTCTCCATCAACATTTTCAATTGTGGAAACACGTTACGTGGTGGGAAAGAATATAACTAGATTCAACTTCAGAAAAGTCAATATAATTCTAAACAACCTCAGAACAATCAGTAAGAATGGTGCCCATGTAGACAACCATGATCTCCACTGGTATCTGCAGGTCTCTCCCTCCGTCTACTGTAGGCTCCACGCCATTATACCTGATCTCGCACTGCCAGTTTCCCTTATCCCTCACTGTCAGTTTCAGATGTCAGTGGTATTTTGAGGTTTTAGGAGACTAGGAAATAGTTCTTCTACCACTTTCCTTCCAAAGGCTAAAATCTGGTCTGAAAGTTAACATTACAAATTACTGATTTTTTCAGTATATTTTACTTTGACTACCAACTGTCGACCATGTCATGATGGTAATCAGGGACCAAAATGTGGCTTAGAGGGGTGTATTCTTAGAGAAACTTCAAGCATCTTACCCAGAGCTTTCTCGTTTCCTTCGGTGTCTTTTGCTGTTTCAGAGACAGGCAGCGACAAAGCCCCCAGAAGACTTCTGTCAACAGGCATGGACACAGGGCGTGCTTGCAGACTCCGTGTGGTCCTTCTCAGGACACCGTCCTGATCTCTTGCAGCCTCAGACACAGAATCCTTTATCTCTACCATCTCTTGGAAGCCCGTTTTGCTCTTTTTCCTTCCTTTGGCTGGAGCACTGGCTGTGCGTCGCAGAATCTTATCTCCAATTGATCGCTTCCGAACGTAATGGGAGCTGCTTTCTGAAGAACAGTGCCTGGGGTTCTTATTGAACAGCCCCTTTAGACCTTGGAGCTGTCTGTTCTGAAGATACAAAAGGACCAACCACAAGTTAAGCAAATGCCACTGTCTCAACTGCTTGCCTTTTAGAATGACAGCTCCGTGAGAAATGGATATGAAACAAAACCTCACAGCCACTGAAGGATATTCAAACCAAGCAAACAGGTGCTCGCAGCATGTTTGCACAACGTCATGCACGATTCGTCAACCTGATTTTGTGAGGAAGGCAGCCTCCCATGTTCACAACCAGGATTTCCGGGAAGTTTCTTGCCCAAAGATGACAAGATGGTAGGAAAAGTGTCCACAGTTAGCAGACTGTTACGAACTTCAGCCGTCTTAAAGCAACAGAGGCATGTTTTGAAGTGGTAAGCAGGAAAATGGAGCAAGGTGAGAGCATGCCGCCATGACCAGTCAAAGAGAAAGACACCAGCAAGAACAAAGCACCATGCTGAGACTACCTTTGTAGCTCCTAGAAAGTGCAATATAGTGTAACTGGGGTTGAGTATTAAAGGGCTCCACTGCAAGGGGGGAAAAAAAGCACAACAAAACACAATTTGGGCTCATTCAAGAAGGTTGCACAAGTAAAAACAGAAGGAAAAAAACCCACATATGTTCTATAAACTCTTTCTCCCACTATTGGTGATTTTTGGTCATAGGTTCATTCATTGCTCGACTCACCACCACCACGCTGTGGTCTATGCATCTCAACCCAAACACGTCTTGAAAGTAATTAATAGTACAACTTCCACGCAGACATTTAATAGAACACACAAATCCTATAGAACATTGTATTTTTCATATGTTCTTTCTGGCTCAAGTTTTAAACAAACTCTGAATTTTATTATTTCCCACGAGCATGATAAATGCTAGAGAGGCTGCTTAGTTAGCTTGGAATTCCTAGAAATTCAAGAATCACTTTTCAATTCATTTACATTTGTGTGTGTTCAGACCAGAGGGGAGATCCCAACAAACAGCACAAACAACCCAGGGCCAAACACAGAAAGTCATGGTATAAAACTTCATCAGTCTTAGAAATTAGGATCCTCAGCACCTCACCCCTCCCAACTGAGGGATGTTACGGATAAACATGTACCTCCTACATCAGGCTGAATTGGCTCACTCCCTACCGGCTGGACTGTAGCCTTAATAATATTAATATTAGCCAACATTTTTCAGCATTTACTATGTGCCAGGCAGCCTTTTAAGGATAACATATTTGTTTACGAAGTAGGTATTATTTCAGCCCCACAGGTAGAGATAGGGAAGGTGAGGCCTAGAGAATGTATGTACCTCTGGAGGGGAAGCTCCAGGCTATGGAGACTTTCTGATAAAGAGCACTGGACATTCCTGAACCCGCCTCAAAGTTACAGTCCCTCCAAATCACATCTAGTCCTGAAAATTGATTCCAGGGGCCACGTCCCCTTGGACACGTCCCCCCTTGCCAGAGGACATCCTATTGATTTATAAACCACAAGTGAGTTCTGTGATGAAGAACTTAGCATCAGGAGAGAGCTACAATACACTTTTCCGGTCTCTTAAGTCCGGTAGGTGGCTTTAAATCCATTCATGAGTTTTAGATTTTCAGTTAAATACCTCGGCACTACATGAATGCATCCTGCCTAGAACCGGCTGGGATCACAGCCCGCGTTAGTACAGGCAGTTCAAATATTTGAGACTGCATTTCCCACTGCAGCCAGCTGGGTCTCTTTAAGGATGAAAATAAAATTCAAACGTGTAACTCTGTCTTTACCGTTTTAGTCAAACAAATGATCACCTGAGAGCATCATAGTTTTCTCAATTCTGTTAAGCCCAGAGAGGGCCTCTAGGTGGAAGGAATGAGTACACATCCCTAAAGAGAGAAAGGAGCATGCGTGGACAGGGACCTGGAGGCAGGAGAGCACATGGAGCAGAGTGGGCTGGGTTTCCCTAGAGTTTTCTGTTAAAGAACAGCTTGTCGAGATATACATTCCTTTTATGCAATTAGTTAAAGAAAACTTTGTGAAGGACCATATTATTGTCGCATGTGGCTTTAAGCCTTGTGATCTTTCTCACCTTTCCGTAGATTTCATTGATGGTTATGTGGACAAATATGGATGCTTCCGTCAGTCCTTCCAAATAGACATGCCGGTAGCCTGATAAAAGTAGAGAGAGTAGTTATCTTTTAGTTGAACTTGCATTTGACTTTCCCATTGGTGCAACAGAATTAAATATCTGACTTTTAGTTCTTTACATTTCACAAAGCATGTTAACACTCTCATTATCACAGGACATATGTTTTATACAGTCATATATGCCACATAGCCTGTATATCACATATCAGATTTTAACTCTTCCAAAGAAAAAGAAATGGTCAGTCTAGAAAGAAAAGCACCCCCACCCCATACTTACCAGGCACTAAGCTGCTGAAGGTCACAGTTCTTTGCCCAACAAAGTCTCTTCCAATAGGATCGTGATCCCACACAAGGAACCGAACCAAAGCTATTTCTGGCATGTGTACTGTAAATGTCAGCGTTTCTTCCCACATAGGGTTAAAGCCTCAGAGAAATAGGAAAAGAAAAATTAGAAAAGCAAAGGGCTTGGCTAAAAATGATTTAGCAGTAACATCTGCAAAACAGACAGTGAAAATTGCTCACAACGGTTATTAAACTCGTGAAGACGGCCAAGCCACCCTGGGATGCCTTACTGAAATACAGCCTTGGAATTCACCCCATTGCTTGAAAATAATTGGGAAGAAAATTGCCTGTAAATTGTTATATCAATTCTGATAATCTTTAATGCCAAATTGCATTGTAGAGAAAGCTCTTTTAGACAATATTCAGCATGTTTCAATAAGCTCAAAAAATTATCTACAGTAGTGATCTAAGAATAATGTTTTAGCAAAAACAATAAAGAATTTCTCTCCCCCACCCCCACCCCACCCAAACAGAGTGATGCTTCTCACCCACCCAAGATCCTGCTGCTGCAATGACCACCAGCAAGTGTTTTGTAAGGTTTCAGTGCTATTGTACATAGAACATCCTATCTAATGCTTATGGCAATCCTCTAAGGGTGGCAGGGCAGGAGTTTTTTTTTTTTCTAATTAATATATATATTATTGACTTTCAAAAATATATAACTTTTAAAAATTACACAGGTAACTCATGCTCAGTTTTTAAAAGTAGGAAATATAATTTTTGCTTTATAGTTGAGAAAATTGATGTTCAGAGAAAATACTGTGCCTAGTGTCATACAACTAGTGACCGAGCCAAATGAGACCAGGCACTGTTGATTTCCAGTGGCTTCTCATGAAGCAAGACCTTAATACACAAAAGCTGATCTATCTTCATAGCTATTGAAAATAAAGAGGAAAGGTTTATAATCCAACTCAAATTCTAAAAGGCAAACATATATTTATTTCTTGATAAAACTCAGAATAAATAATTATATAAACTGATAAAAATTCAAGTATTCTGTAAGCTTGCTTTTCTTTTCTAAAAATGAAAATTAGTATCATTAAATCTATGCATTCCAGAGGTATCAGCCACTTAACCCTATTAAATGTCTCAGCTAATGAATTCCGGACTGAAAATCATTGAGATGTCCCTCCTGAATAAGAGAAGAGATACTTTCTGTTGGGTTAATGATGGCATCTCAATTACCTCTAAGACCAAAAATAAAAAAAATTATTGAGCATTGGCCGGAATATACAGTACGGGAAGTTTGCTCACTTTAAGTATGTTATTTCCTAAGTTATAGGTTTGTGCTCTTGAACCCCCAAATTCCTTTCCTTAAACTCCTCTTAAGTTCTCTCTACAAAAACTCTAATTTCCCAAACATTTTGAGGATTATGGTTTAGATTTTCTTTAGAGTATTAATGACTAGAGATTGAGAAAAACTGGCATGCAAAATAATGTTTGTAAATGTACGAATACATACAACTTTAGAAGATTATTAAGAGAAAAACATGAGGCTTGAGTAAAGAAAGCTTTCTTTACATTACGGCCAAAACACAAGGAGAACGCGCCCATCCACCACAAGTACGTCATCAAGAAGCAAACTTGCCAGAGCATGCCGCACTTGCCTTTAGAGCTCTGCATGCTCAGAGAGAATGAGAGCTCATCAGGATGTGGGCTTCACAAATGAGAACTCTGAGGCTACTTGTGTCATGAAAACAACATAAAAATATAACGAGAGTCATTTCCTACATGAAGCCTTAACCCAGGTGTGTAAATATTACCCATTCATTTCACTGGAAAAAAATATTTGCTTCAAAAGCAAAAGTCTTGAGAGGCTAGATTACAACATCCATCAAAATGTATAATGCATCAATTCCACATTTACTTAGGGTGATGCGTTGAAAATCTTAACAAAACTCAAATGGCAGCTACAGATTTTAGAGATTTGTTTCTCTCCCATGTAGACACCTTTTTTCAGTGCAGATTTTATTTCTAGAGTATCCTTATTAAAAGGGAACACAGATTATAATCTTACCATTGTCATCTACCACACGAGTCTGATCTTTACAACAATCTACTGGCAATCCGATAATTTCAACTTCAACAAAAGGATCAATGATCTATATGAATAAAGAGAGAATATTACTACAACTGACACGTCTCTGCCCATGTTAATTTTAAAATATTTGGCCAAAATGTCCACATATCAACTGCAACCCATTTAATTAGGTGCTTACTAAGAAAGAGAAATTGTACTAGGTACAACAGGTTCAGATAGATGAGACAGAAAGAAAAGAATACATTTTTATTTGCCAATGTCTACTAATGCTATATAAACGTCCCCTGACGAACTTACAACTCTAGTTCAGGGTATATATCCAACGGAAATGAGAGCTTCTGTCTGTGCACAAATGCTCAGAGGAGGTGAATTCATAATAGTCACACAGTGAAACAACCTAAATGTCTATCAAGAGTAGGATGGATAAATTTTGGAATATTTATTTAATGAGTACTATACAACAATGAAAAAGTAACAAAGTTCTGCTGCACAGACATGATGTTGAACAAGCCAGACACAGAAAGAGTACATACTATCAGAGTCCATTTAGAGGAAGTTTGAGCACAGATTGAATTAATCTATCATGACAGGGGCTGGTTTTCAAAGAGGGTGGGGGGTTAGGAGTAGGTATCTACTAGGAGGGCAGATGGAAGCCTTCTGGGGGTTCTGGATATGTTCTGTCTTGCTCTGGGTTACATAATAGTTAATCACATCATTCACATTTGATTTGTGCACTTTAATGTGGTTGAATCAACTGTGTACTATGATGTAAATTTCAAAGTATTTAAAAATTAAAAGATTAAAAAGCAATCTAAAGAAAAAATGTGTTTGGCTCCTCTCCCCCTGCCCCTGCCGACCCCCTGCCTACCCCGCATCCCCTCTAGTCCCGCTTTGTTGGTCATCTGTCAGCGCTCCTTCACCGCGCCAGTTCTGGATAATGTGCAATGAAGGAATAACCTCCTAAAGGACCCAGAAAAGAGAGTCATGAAGTCCGGGAAAACATTTTCAGAAACTTGGAAAGTAAGGAGAAGACAGTTTCAGGGAATAAGAGCCAGAGGTATGATGGAAAAACATTTTGAGACAGGGGGATACACTTTTTTTTGTTTACTAAGTAAACCACAGTTAAATTATACTCATTTTCAGCTAATACTTTTATGCTAAAAGTCTTTCCTTAGCACAGAACCCCGTGGTAAAATTGTTGCCATTGGGGATCTTGGATTCTGGGGGGCAACTAACAAATATGAATTCTGTTCTTAAGGAATTTAAGAGGCTTAATTTAAAAGGAAGTTAGGATGTCACAGGCTTGAAGAATAACTTGTTGCTTCAACACTTGGCTCCTGTGCTGGACTCGGGCAGGTGGTGTAACCCTGTGCTTCAGGTGTCTCATCTGTAAACCTGAAGGAGCAGTGTCCGCTTCACCAGACGGTAACCTAGGCTATGGGCTAGAAGGATGCAACTGGGTGGTGAAGCAAGACTGGGAAGAGATACGGGAGACAGAATGTCCAGGAGATGATAAGTGAGGAGATGGGGAGAGTAGAGAAAAGGGGAAAACTAAAGATGACAATCAATTTTCTGATTAGGAGCAGGAAGAAAGTCTTATTTCATCAGAATATGAACAATGTGAGAGATCACAGGCTGAGAATTCAGAGTTCCCAGATAGGGGAAAAAAACTGTATTTTTATTAGCCTCTGACTACAGCACAAACAGTAAATATTAGTGCTATGATCCCGTGTCGGACAGAAGTCACAGACGCTTCCAGGCCACACTATGATCGCTGGAGAAATCTCCATGTATCGCCTATACTCATCCCAACTTCCAAATCCTAATAGTCACTCGACCCATCTCTAGATCCTGCTGTTTACTGCATTCGTAGACACATGTCCTCGTACATCACAAATTGTTTTCAATACGTTGATAAGTGAATTTCAACGTAATTGATTTCCTGTGTAGCCCTATCTATTTTATTTTGTGTATTTAAAAACATTATTTTGAGAAGGGGTCCAAAGGACTCATCAGACACCAAAGGGGTTCTATGGCTCAAAAAAAAGTTAAAATCTCCAGACAGAGAACCTCATAGGCCAAGATAAGGAGGGTGCCTTTTTATTTTAGTTACAAAAGAAAGATACTTCTTATACCTTTAAAAGATTACTCTAACCCCACAGGCTGTGCTTTACAAAGATAGATACATATGCAATGAAAAACATCTGGAAGACATTCCCTCGTCCAAGGAATGTTACCAATCCCGGGATAAAGTGACATAACGTGGCCTCTGATTCGGTGCGCTGAGAAGGACGCACAATGCCCACATAGTATTCCTGCCAAACACGTTTACCCTGGTCTCAATCATGAGTAAGCAATCAGGTAAATCCAAATTGAAGGACATTTTTTTAAATGTCAGTATCATGAAAACCAAATAAAAGCTGGAGAACTGTTCTACATTTTAAAAGGCCAAAGAGAAATTGACAACTAAAAGCAATGTGTGATCCTTAATTAGATCCTGAATCTAAAAAGAGGAAAAAATAAAAAAAAGATGTAGGAACAACCTGATGTATGGGAAAACTGAATATAGATTTTATATTAGATAATATTATTGTACCAACTAACTCCTGGGTGTAAGATAGGCTCAAGGAGGTATTGCACAGCACAGGGAACATAGCCAGTATTTTGAAATAATTGAAAAGTAACCTTTCAAAATAGTATGAGAAATAAAAATTTTAAAATTTTAAAAGATGAATTAAGTTCTGAGTATCAAAAGAGTTAAAAAAAATTAAATAAGCAAAAAAGCAAAAAAAATCACACCAATATTAAATGTCATGAATGTAATGACTATATTGTGTTTATGCAGAACATCTTTGTTCTAAAGAGATAAATGCTGAAATATTTAAGGATCAAGGGCCATGATGTTAACTTACTCTCAAGAGACTCTCCAAAGAAAAACAAATGCATCTATATACATGTGTAATTAAATTTTGTTACATCTGCTTATCTCTCCCTCTCGTGTGTGTAAGTATACTTGTGTGTGTGTATGCATATTTACACATACACAGATACACATGAAAGAGAGAGAAAGCAAATATAACAAAATGTAGTAAGTTAACTGGTGACTCTAGGTGCTGGAGATATGGTGTTCATTTTATTATTCCTGCAACTTTTCTGAGGTTTGAAATTTTTCGAAATAAAAAGTTCAGAAAGTGAGCCTTTCTGCAGAGAACACTGAAAAGAAAAATGGAAAGAGAAGTAAGGATAAGTTTTCTGATATTGCCAAGGTAATTATTCTTTTTTCTTTAAACATTCTTTTTATTGAGTTACAGTCATTTTACAATGTTGTGTCAAATTTCAGAGTAGCGCACAATTTTTCAGTCATACATGAACATACATATATTCATTGTCACATGAAGGTAATTATTCTTGCTGCTGAGAGAACAGAGCAGACGCAGGGGGACCAGTGAGCGGGGAGGTGACTGCAGCAGAACTGACAAGAGATGATGGTGGCTCGGGTTAGGCTGGAGGCAATGGAGATGGGTGACATGGTCCCACCTAAAGCCCCTACTTTCTGAGGAGTGGGACACGGTGCTGTCTGTTGAAGACGAGAAAGTGATGAAAACAAATGTTTGAGGAGAGAGGAGGTTGACAGTCCCCAGTTTGGAGAACAGGACAGAGGGCTGACAAGGTGGAGCTGGGATGGCAGTGTAGGATCACGAGCGGGTCAGTTGAGACTTGAGACAAAGAGTTTATGGTGGCACCCTGCAGAGCTGCATGGTTTCCCCACTGGCACTCAAGGTCCAGAAAGGACAGTTTAACAAGTGGGAGAGGCAAAGAGCCTGAAGTGATGGGTCCACTCCCAAGAAGAAGGACATGAACGGAGACGGGGATGGCAGGGAGGAGAAACCAAAGGCCAAGAGCAGGTGTTAATAGGAATAATGGAATTAAAGTTCCGGACAGACAGGAGGCTGAGGTCACGGCGGCGGCAGACATTTGAAAATCATGCTTCCGAGGTGCAGCAAGGGAAGAGTCAGCGTGTGGCCAGGGAGCAGGTGGCTGATGTGCAGCCGAGATGAGGGTCACGGCGGAGGAGAAATGAGGACAGGAGGTTAAGACGTTCTCTTAAGCAATGTTTCTATTAATAACAAAATTGTTCCTTGCACCTCAATTTGGCACTGTCAGTGTCAGTCTGCAATTGTGTGCACTCATGCCTTGCAAACAGGTGATGCACTGCACTCCAGAAGGAACTGTGTGTGCTCTGCCAGCAAGTCAGTCAGTATCTGAGGAGCTGAGGGCAGTGAGCGCTCATTTACAGACACACACACACATACACAAACACATACACAGAACACTCAAGACATTTCAGATGAAATGCAAACACAGTCAAATCATCATATAATTAACCACTTGGTCATACACAGTTTACCTCGCCTCGGTCTCCAAACATAGAGTCCGGAGGTTTGGGGAGCTGTTGTCCACTGATCACTTTCAGGATGAGCTGCTTTTTGGGGTTGGCAGGAAGTGGATCACCAGAGAAAGGGTTGAAAGTACCTAAGCCAAATAAAGCAGAGGTTAAAATCAAAGGTCAGCCACAGGGGAAAACACACACACACACACACACACACACGCACGCACACACATACACACACAGAGCTTAAGCTTGAAGGACAAAGAAACAATAAATGCTGAATTACTACCGTTTTCTTAAAGCAAAGAAATCATCATGTAACATCAGTGCAGCTTTTGCCTGAAGGCAATGCCAGCTGGCGTTTCTATAGCTATGTTTTTGTTAGAATGCATGCTCCCAAAGGCCAGAGGAAAGGGCCAATTTAAAGCAAGTGTCTGGGATGCAATTATCAACTGCAGCAGGGGGGAAGAGGAAGATTCTACTTGAATGCCACAGTAGACAGAGAAGGGGAGTGGTTATGTTAGATTCACATAATTTTCTAACCGAAACTATCTCAAGTATAGAGGGAATATAACAAGCAGAAAAGAAGAGCTGAAATTAAGTAAACAGCAGAGCAAGAAAACATGCAAAGCATTAACATTCTGAAGACACATATGTCAACAGCTTTTCTTTACCTGAACTGTTTAAAAATCCAAATTGAAAACTTTAAAAAAATTTTAATGAGCAGAACCCAAAGGAAATGTTTTTGGATCTCAACACGGCATTGTCTTTTTTGTTGTTAGCAGTGTTTTGTAATTGGAATAAACTGACTAAAAGGGCGTGATAAAATTATTTCAGGTGGCATTATCACTCTGCCAGCCGGTCTCAGACTCACACTCCCTTGGAAAGTTTCTGAAAGCATTCAATTTGTAAGTAATGCCCAGCGAATATCACGCTGGACCACTGGATTTCAGGTGACAATCCACTGCTATTACCCATGTCCCTCTTTAAGTGCATGACGTCACAAGAGAACACACTAAACAGCATGCTACCCAAACATTAAACAGTTGTGACCAGTCCTTCATTTACATTCCGATACCTTAATGTATCTCTTTTTTAAAAATCATGCTGCAAAACCCTGGGGCAACACATTTTCCAGAGAGCTCCTTCAACAGAGGTCTCTTGCATTCAGAGATACGACCATGAAATTAACACACACCTTTGCACATCTGCTGGGGTTTGAGGACGTAGCCGCAATTGCCATTCGTCTTGAATTTGGCTCGATTTAACTGCATCATTCGCCCTTCAGACTGGTAGTTCAGCGCCACTGTGCAAGTTCAAAGTTGAAGAGAATTAGGCAAGACGGCCTCACAGAGTCAAGACACAAAGAGAACGGCTCCCTGCTGAGGCATACACACCTAGCTGGCAACCTGCATTCCAGTAGGGCAGCGGGTTGAAGTTACTGGAATCGATGCGGTAGGCGGAGGGATAAATCCTCGTGAGCTGCTTTTGGTTATAAATCATGAACTGCTCTGATTTCTGCTGAACCACCTGATGTGCTCTTGTTTCGCTGAATGATAACACATTTCCTGTGGTTCCTGGCGATTTTTAATAAAGAAAACAGAAAAGTGAGAACTGTAGCAAAGAAAACATCAATCACAAAAGACCTTATAATGACGTCCAATTACAGTAAGAAGCAGAGCAAGAGAGTGAATTCACCCAGAGCAGGCACAGCGCCTGAGCAAGAAAGATCTATAAAATTCCACTCTTGGGACTGTTTGCCATTCCAGATCAGAGTTGCGCATCTTGCTCAGATAACTGCCTACTTCTGGGTCCCGTGTTCCCCCAAGAATTCCATCATCTCACTAATACATATCTATCTGGCTAGTATGGAGGGGGCAGACAGGGAAATTATTTTCTAGGGTGTGATTCAAAAAGACTATCTTTGTCAAAGATCAAGACACCTATGGATAAATAAAACTATGAAACTCAATCCTGATAAAAGGGAGACATTCCCTGAAGGCATTCATCTGAAAAGCACACACATGAAATAGATTGATAGCATTCAGGGTCCAAGAAACTAAAGGGAAAAGGCCAATTCCAAAACAGGAAAATTGGGTTTTTTAATTAATTTGAATAGAATAGTGAAATCAGTCAAAACCTATTTGGGAGAAAGGAATAATAATGGAAAAAGAACATTATAAAGAAATAAAAGTTTCAGAAACAAGAACAGTTATCCACCGAGCCAGGTTTATAAACAATGGAAAAATAAAGGGAGATGAAAGAACAGGAAGCCTATATTAAAGTTTCTGCTTGGAGCATCACTAGAAAGGGTTAATTCAGGACCAAGGAAGCTACAAATTACAGGGTCATGATGGAGAAAGCCTCCAAATATTTTATATCCTACCCTTTTCCCCCAGCACTATCTTTTGCTCTACATCTGTAGTGCCCCATCACTCCAACCCCTTCACCAGCCATCCATACTCCACCCTCGAATGACCACCCAAATTCCACCTGGACCTGTTGGAAGAGACCAGCCTAGATAAAGATCCAAACTTGCCCAGATTCTCATTCTCATTCCAATGTGGACTCTGATAAGTTGAGGGGGTCTGAACCAAGACTGAGGGGCATGGCCCATGAAATCAAGTTCAATTATAGCCTTGCTGGGCCAACGGGACCTGGATTGTATCCAGATTGTGCATGTTTATTCGCACACACAGTCTCCCAGGGCCCCTGTGGTCCTCAGGGTTGGACACCCTTAGGTATTAATCACAGATAAATGACTAGCAATTACACTCTAGAGCTGGAACGTGGAACAGTGGGAGCAAAGAAATTAGAGAATTACAGTTTTTAATCCAATGATTTCCCTCATATAGACTCTTTCCTTATCATATACATCTTACTGACATAACTTATTAGCATAGTTTACATGTTTCAAGCATACTAAAAATGACCTGATTTATAGATCTGGATGAGGGATACTTTGAACATGATAGGAGAAAATAGTCTTTTTGACAAACCTCATTCAGATGAAATAATCAGTGCCACTGTTTTCTCTGTCTCTCCACATAAATTATGCACAACATTCTCAATAAGATGACCTAGCTAATTATGCACATGTCAATTAGTATATTAATAGAGTTGAGTTACTTTGCATTAGATAAGCCATGCATTCATTATCTATTGCTCATTTTGTGGCTAAGTAAAATACATACACACACACACACAAGACAAAACAGCTGAAGTTCAAGAACTAAATGGTACTCAACATTATTTTCCATTAAGCTAATAGGATTGATTTCCTACGGCATGTATTAGAAATTATATTTCTATAAACCAAATATACCTTTAACTCCATTAAACTACTTTCTGAGTTTATTCTTGGCCAATTATGATAAGAATGATAGTCATTTGCTGAGAATCCTACAAGTTCTCATGTTCTCACATGTGAAATTAATTTATATTTTTTTAAATAATTGTCACCATTTAAAGAAAAAATCAACACCAAAGGAAAGAAAAATCTGAGGAGGCAGAGAAAGAAACAGGGGGAAAAAGAGATCTGAGGGAAGAATCGTGGAGGTCTGTAAGGACGTAAAACTCAGCGCAATGTCTTCCCTCCATTGAGACACGAGAAAATGGGAGGCTCTGATTTATATTTCGCTTCCGCTAAAATTAAAATTATACTTAAACCCACCTGACTGTGGTTTATTTTCATAAATATTCAGTAACTGAACAAAATATAGATGAAGAGGGAAGAGGATAAAGAGAAAGAGCAGCAAACAGGAAAGTCAGGGTCAGAACAATCGTGACTAGAATTTCTCAACTCCATATATGGCAACTGATGGGTGAAAAACTGTGACAGAGTCAAGGCTTCTGAAATTTCTGTTCTTTCTGTTAAGATTTCAATCTATGGATTAAATTGTTTCCACCAAGGTCAAAATTTTCAATGAGAAAACATGGGGGCATTTTAAGATGTTATTTTAGCCAATTAATTTCTTCTTTCTTCAGGCCATTCGTACTTGGAATGGCCATCTGCGATCCGGCCCCCAAACCAGGTCAAGTCTCCAGAGCTCAAACACTGGGAAGACCTTGCTCTGATACATTTGTCTTTTTAATAATAACAAGGTCCTCCTTTGCCCTGTGGGAAAATTTCTCTAGCCAATTAGGCAACCAAAGTAATCAATAAATCCCTCTGTGGGAGCTAAGTGTTGTGCCAGCCATCAGTTTCCTGGACTCTGCACAGTTCCAAAATGTGTGCCAATGATCAAACTGACAAAGGACTAATTAATAATTGACAAAGGAAGGTCAAAAATGTTTAGCCAGAAGAAGCACTTAGCCCTTACCATCATCCACAATGTCCTGGGCTGCCACGGAGTTTGTGTACACAACCAAATCGGAGAGTTCTCGACAAAGCTTCATGGTTTTCCTTCGGCGACCCAGCCTGTAAGATACACACCCAAGACTCATGACATTTCAGAGCTGGAAGAGGTTAGGGCTTTCAGTTACTCTGCCTTCCCTGCCTGCTCCTGATGGAGCCAGGATGAGAACCCAAGTGTGATTTTTAGTTCAGCATTCTCTCCACAACACCCTACTCATGCGGTTTTATTCACTGCTCTGCCAGGAATCTCTTCTGAATTTGTGAGTTCTATTGTGAAGGGCTTAATTTCCACCATTACCCCATGATGGAGTGACACCGGAGCTTACTGGGGAACCACTCCACTTCGACCTGGAGTAATGCAGAACCTGTACTAAAAAGGAATAGACTCATTGTATTGTGGGACACAAGAATTATATATCTTAAGAGAAATACACCAAACTTTCCATAGTCATTATCTTTTAGAGGTGTAATTCCAAGTGATTTTTATTTCTTCTTTATGATTTTCCTAGTCTTCAACTTTCATAAAACAGCCATTCTTTGCTCTCTCTGTCCTATAAAGCACTCCCAGGGTCTCCTCTACAGCTTTATGAATTCTACCACTACTCTTTACCACAGTACAGTTCTCCACAGACTATCACATTCTCCTCACAGACACACTTCAACCCTTTAGGGGAACAACTAACCACCAAAATGCCAATCCTCACCAAAGAAAATACACAAATGACCAACCAACCAGAATATGAAATAGGCTCAACAGCATTAGTCGTTAGGGAAATGCAAATCAAAACTACAGTGAGATACCTACACACCTGCTAGGATGGCTGTAACCAAAAAGGTAGAGTTGATGTGTTGGCAAGGCTGAGGAGAAACTGGAACGCTCAAACATTGCTGGAGAATATGAAATGGTATAACTGCTTTGCCACAATAGTTTGGCAGTCCCTCAAAAAATTACACAGTTTCCATGTGACTCAGCAATTCCCCTTCTAAGTATATACCCAAGAGAAAGAAAAATGTCTGTCCACATAAAAACTTATACATAAATGCTCATAGCAGCATTATTCATAACAGCCAAAAAAATAAAAACCACCGAAATGTCCTTCAACGAATGAATGGATAAATAAAATGCAATATATTCATACAATGGAATATTATTCAGCAATAAAAAGAAATGAAGCAGTGATACATTCTACAACATGGATGAATCTTGGAATCATTATGAAGTCAGACAAAAAAGGCCAAATATTGTAGGATTCCATTTATATTTAATGTCCAGAAAAGGCAAATCTGTAGAGACAGAGTATTAGTTGGTGCCAGAGACTGGGGGAGAGAGAAAGACGGGAAGTCGCTGCTTATGGTAGAGTTTATTTTTGGTGTGATGAAATGTTCTGGAATTAGAGAGGTCAAATAGACTTATTCAATCAATGAATATTTATGGAGCACCTATTGGAGATAAAACAGTGAACAAATCAGACAAAAATTCTTATCATACTAATACTTAAACACATTCAATAAAATAATTAAGAAATGTATCAACAAGTCATTTTGCCAAGGAAGAATACATAGACAGTTATAAAAATCAATTAGAAGAGCCCATGTTCCTCCTTTACTGTACAATTAATAAATTCTATAGCCATTGGTGAAAATCTGATTTCATGAAGGCAAATGATTATAATGTGAGGTTATACCTAGAAATTACAAGTAAAACTCTGAAGACACTCTATAATACAAAGAACTTCTGCATAAAGTTAGCTTTTTTATTCTTATCCTGGGATTGAATTCATTTACTGAAGTCTCAAAAGGACACCATCATAGGTTCTTGGGCCTTGACAATTACTATCGGCAAATCTCTAATAGACTTAAGAACAGCATGCAACACAATTTCATGTGATACCTGTAATGATGTCTCACTTGCACGCATTAAGATTATCGTGGCTTTCCTCAAACACTGTCCCTTCCCTGGCTGTATGATTCAGAGCTGAGCCTTTCTCAAAGTTATATTTGCAAATATTCACAGCAGAGGTCTCCTGGAAGGTAATTCTCTTTCTCTTATATCCTTTACTGTAACTATATATTGAATTTTCTGTACGTTAAGTGTAGAGACTACACACATCTCCTTGGCCCTTGATAATTAGTTACTATTTTATGTATGGACATTCTGTTGAAGTGAAGCTAAAATTTAAAATTTAATTCAACACTAAATGTTATTCATTCCCATAGGACCTGTGTGCTTCCAGTTTCGTTTAATTTCAGTCTTTCGATAAAGTCACAGGTGTGTGTATATGTATGTGCATGTGTTTGTATATCTATCTATCTATTTACGAATGATGTAATTTACAATTTTTTGTGAGACTTACTGTGTACATCATCTGCCAGAAAGTCCTACATTAACTCCTATGTCACAATTTAGGTTCTAAAATTACAGTCATTTTACTCATCCCGAATTCTGCTGGCAGAAGTAAAGAAAATAGCAACTAATACTCTTGAACACTTAGTTAACTGGGGTAGGGCTCATCTGGCTAAATAGTTTAATTCCTTTAATCCTGACAATGACCCTAAGAAATAGATACAAATGAAGAGGTGACCCCTCCCCATGCTAAAGTTGAAAGAACAAGAGTTTAAAGCCTGGCTGCTTTCATAGCCCTGGCCCATAACATGTGCTTATCATCTCTCTTCTCCTCAGTCTCCTGTGAGAGCCCCCTGTACTAGTGCACAGGGCCCCTCCCTCTCCTCTGACGACACCTTTCACCTGACAACAGGTACAGCTAGCGCGAGGCGCTCACTGGGCACTAAGCAGCAAGTCCCCTACGTGGATTACCATCTCATACCCAGTTGATCTGCACATGCCCCCCGCACTGAGCACGTCACTTTGTGATCTGATTTTCCGGACACACACAACTAAAACAGCCACGCTGATGAGGATGGAGAGGCTCTGGGAGTCTGAGCAAGAAATGTGGAGAGCTTTCTTACCTGCACAGCTGACTGGTCTCCTTGCCAGGATTCTGCTGTGTGTCCTCCTCGTCTTCAGTATTACAGGATTTAGACCGTGATTTTGTGGTTTTCTGCCAGAAAAATCAGAGTGAACTTAATACAGACTCACCGCATCCAGTACATCCACAAGGTACAGAGAATTAAATGGGCTTTAGAATACACACACACAGAAGGACAGTAACTCAGAGGAAAAAAATTGACCAAATATTGCAGCTTGCCTCAATAACAAGCATGTCTATGGCCAAAGTTATATTAAAATATTAAGGCGAACCCGAGGGTTTCATGCTCTAATACTGACTTTTAAACCACACAAGACGCAGATCTTAGAAAAACTATTAGTCATGCATTGAAGGTTTCTAAGAGGGGTAGGGTCAAAGTTGTAGTATCTATTTAAATGATTCTAAGGGATTTCCTCTTATAAAGGAAGCTCATTATTCCTACTGACTTACTTATAAAAGGTAGATATAATTTTTTTTAAAATAGTAATTTTTTAAAATGAATAACTACTATTTCTGCTTTTCAATATGGGCACCAAAACCCATTCAAATCAACTTGTTCTTTTGAGATTTTGACCCATTTTAATTTCTAGAGCAGAATGGAAATTGTTACCTACAGGATTCAGGCTGAAAGACTGTAGGAGTAATCTGGTGTCTTCTGGACTGATCAGCTCATAGACATAAATCCTCTTAGGAATCAAGCAGTTTCGTCCCTACCATAATGGAGATCACCCCAATATTTGGCAACACATATCTCAACCATACATATCATGGGGAGGGACCCTAGTAATTGAAGAAAACCTGGCCACCAAAAACATAGCTTCTACAAACAAAGGGAGGACTTCTAGACAGAGTACCCTGGACATCTGGGGAATATGGCTTAGAAAAGGAAAGGGACTCCATCTCCACGTTACCACAGGACCACATCAGCTTCCAGAGTTTTCTCATTCACAACAAATAAAAAATTAAGCTACAGTGTTGGCATAAATACACTCAACTCTATTGTATTGACAGTAGGTGCCAATTTAGTCTGGAAACTTCTCTGGTCTTATTTATGCCTCAAGAACCTCAGTGTCCATGGTGTGGGAACCCAGTATCTGATGATCTCATGTTCCAGACGGGCCTCTCACCAAGCAGATAAATTGGCTAACTTCTCAAGCTTCCTACTGTGATTTTTTAAAGGGCAGGGCAGTAATACTTATTCTAAAGGATTAGTATTTTTGTGATGATTAAATGAAATGGCATGGAAAGTCATTCTGTAAGCCACATACTATTGATACTAAAATAATCTATAAATAGCCTTGTGGACATTCATTCTTAGGACTTGACATATCATAAATTATAATTCTATAGTAGCTAAAGTACTTCCTAAAAGATTTACTTTGGAAAATAATTTAAATGAGTAGTTGTAATCAAGAAATGAAATATTCTCCAATTCCACATATAACTGGTAATCTGAGGTATTACAATAAAAATCTGTCTTTTTAAGGTATTTTTAAATATAAAGTGCAAAAAGTAGAAATAAGTAATGAATTACCAATGACAGGTATTTGGAGAAATGACGATATATTTTCTGGACATAGAGTTTTGACACATCATGGTTACCATATCATAGAACCAATTTTTCATCTTTTTTATTTAATGTTTTGCATATTGAGCTCTTTAGAGTGATCACCTGTTAATGGCTGCATAATTGTCCAATGTGTGAGTGAATCATGATTTATTTAACCAGTCTTTATGGGAGAACATTTTGGCTGTTTTCAGTTTATTATGACTACTTTGTCCAACCTTTTAAAAATTATGCTATTGATGGGGCAGGAAATTCCACATACAGCAATCCTTAAAGTCCAAAGAAATGGACTTAGAGAAACCTCATGCAGAAAGTTCCTCACCTAATAACTGATTTCTTATTTAACATGTGCTACCTTTTTATTCAAGTATCACATACATTTAGAAAAGTACAAGAATCATAGGTGTATAGCGTGATGACTTTCCACAAAGAGAAACCACTCAAATGAGGAAATGGAATATTATCTGCCCCCAAAACCTTCCAAGTCTCCTGTTTGGTCATCACCTTCTCCCCAAAGGTATCTCTTATCTTGCCTTTTATCCCAGAGATTTTTTTTTTTGCCTGTTTTGGAACTTCATATAAATGGAATCAAACTGTATGTACTCTCTTGAGTCTGGCTTCATTGGCTCCGTGTCTCGTTCATAAAGCTCATACTATTGCATGAAGTTGTAATTTTGTCATGCTCACTGCTGATAAATACGCCCTGTATGAATACACCACAATTTGTATTCATTCTATGGTCGATGGACATTCAAACTGTTTCCTGTTTGTACTACAAAACGCCACTATAAATACCATTGTTTCAGTCTCATGGCACAACCCTAAAAATGGAACTGTTAAGATACAGTTCACAGTGTGGCTTTAGTCGATACTGTGAAACAGTGTGAAGCAGCTGCACAAATGAAGGTTCCTGTTAGCACTTTACGAGAGTTCAAGTTGCCCAACATCCTCTCTGACAAACAGGGTTGTCAGCCTCTATGTTTGCTGTTGTGGTGGGTGGATGTGGAATCTCACCGTTGTTTTAGTTTCTGTTTCCCAGAGGACTGATGACAGTGAGGACCTTTTTCATATTAGCCACCTGGATATCTTCTTTTGTGAGGCACATTTAAGCCTTTTGCCCATATTTTTAAATTTTGGGTCCCTGTTTTTTTTTTTTCTTTTGGTAGAAATTCTTTATATATTCAAGACACAAGTCCTTTGTCAGATAGGTGTATTGAAAATATCCTTTCCCAGTATGCTATTTGCTCTTTGATACTTTTGATGAACAGATGTTCTTAAATTTTAAAGTAGTTTAATCATCAACTTTCTCCTTTTCTAGGTTCCTGTTTAGGAAATCTTCAGTTATTCCAAGGTCAAGGTGCTATTCTCCTGTTATCTTCCAGACTCTTTACATTAACTGAATCATATACATTTATCGCTCTTAATTCCTACCTTATGTTTTCCAAAGTTGGTCATGAGGGATCGTCCATGTGCTTTCTTTCCACTCTCCTTCACATCTGGATGCTGAGAAAATAAAGTATAATACGACTATTTGTCTTCTTTGCTTTTGTTTCTTTCTTAGTTCTGGCAGGGTCCCTCCCTCCTTCTGACTCTAGGTGGGCAGGGAGCAGGTCCTGTTCAGCTCCTCCTGCTCCAACCCCACTACTTCCCCAAAGTGGCTCTTTCTCCCTTGGTGGGGATGGAGGGGGGACACTGCACAGAGAGGCCCAGGCCCCAGCCAGGAGATGGCAACTGCTAACACCTTCCTAAAGTTGGGGTCCGGGGCCTCTCCAGGGCCTGTTCACAAGGCTCTCCACAGTCAGAGTGTATTTTTTTGAATGCCCTAAGGGGGAATAAATCATCTTTAGTTAAAAGCAGATTTAACTTTTTAAAAATGGCCAAAAGTCATTAAAAGCCAATTCAGTGAATAAAAAAAAGTAACCACATTGATTGAATACTGCTATTTGGAATTTGGAAATGTTAAAAATAAATAAAATCCAAATATATCTAGGAGGTAGTAAGAGTGTTTTTCTTTCCTTCACTGAGTAAACTACAACAAAGCTTATCTGCTCACTGAAATCCCTCCCTCTGTGGCGAGCACTGGAAAGAGGTACTGTGGCCTCTGCATTCCTCCTCACTGAATTACTTTTCTAGGCTAGAGCGCTCCATACTCCAGGGGACAGAAAGGCCACCTCACTGAAAAGGTTCAGACTCTTATCCAATTGTTATCCCTAAAAATATGATTAGGTGATTCACTGCTAATTACATGACGTAAGGAGAGGCCAACAGGCCCCGCCCTCCCAGGACTTCAGCTGAACAGAGATAATCATGGAAGTGCAATAAACCACTAAAATCAAAAGGTCAGGGAGAGCATCTACATATATCCATAGCGAATAATCAAAGATGCAGTTTGGGGTGAGGAGGGGGAAGAATGAGAACTGGGCTGGAGGAGGGTGAGTAACAGGTTTACAGGGTAATTTTCATTGACTGGTTTGTATGTATTGACTGCCTTTGAAGATCTGTTAACACTGATCACTAACTATTCAAAAACCCTGGAATTAAGAAAGTAGACAGATGTGGTCATAGAAGTATCTCTGCCCTCCAAGTCAGGAGATCCAGTTCGGCCACCAAGTAGCTACAGGTCCTTTGGCAAAGGCCCTTCTCTTGACCTCGTTCTCTTATCTGTGAGGTGGGGGAGGAAGGGACCAATTAACCTCCTAAAACCAGAAAGGAACTCAGAGGGGCCATGTTATTTATTGTCCAAATCAGGACTAAGAGTGAAATGGGGCACTTACAATAATTACACTGGGACAATAGGGATAAAGCGGGGCTCTCCCAGGCAAGTTGAGGAACAGGGTCATCCTATTCAGTGGGCACCTACTATGCCCCAAGGAGCATCCTGAGTGCACTACATATATTCTCAGTGTATACAACCACCTGTGGACATCAGTATAATTAAAATCCCAATTTTGCAGATAATAAAAATCAAAGTATGGCAAGGTTAGTTAATGTACCCAAAGTTACAAAGCTAGTTGGTGATAAAACTGTGTAGCTCGAAGTCTCCTCTCTGGCTTGCTCCCCTGCCCCACTCTGCACTCCTTCTATGTAGAAGAGGAATGTACACAAATATATGTCCATACCGACTTCTTGCGCATCAGCACATCTTTCATTGAATTCATCGGTCAGAACTTGTGCTGGGAACTTGACATGCATACAAGGGAGAAAGCAAACAAGAGAGATGTAGACTCTGTCCTCAATAGGCTTACACTCTTATGGTGGAGACAAATGATCTTAACTCACTATAAGACTATGATGGGCAGTTCAGGGCACTGCCTGATGGCATGGGAAGGCAACATGCCCAGACTTGAGGATCAAGGAGGACTTCAAGCCAGAAGATAGGTAGACATTACCTATGTGAGGTGAGGAAGGGGAAATGTGTTGTGGCCAAGGAAAGAGCAAACACAAAGGCCAAGTGCTAGGAACATGGAACCTTCCAGTAACTATACACACGTGCATGAGTGGATGTGTCAGAGCAGGGGTCAGATCATGGACAAAGGATCTTTTGGGCTATAGCTTAAATTTGAACTTTATCTTCTAAACTATGAAGAGCCTTTGAATGGTTTAAAATAGGAGAATGACATGATCGAAGCACAAATCTGCAACATCACTATGGTAGTAGTGTAACTGAGAGACCAGAGGGAGTGGGACAGCGGAAGAGCTAGAAAAGTCCATTTGGGGAATAATTAAGGTTATCCAGATGGCTGCAGCTGGGATTTAGAGAAGGGAGTGAATTCAAGAACTCTCAGGAGGGCAGGCATCTTTCTTGAGCTCACTAAGTTCTTCCAGCATGAAGGATGAGAATTTCATTTGTATTTCACTGCCGGGATCTCCAGGGAAAAGACGGCACAAGAAGAACACAGCGCTGCCCTGCTGAGTGACGGCCCAGGAAGAAGGAGCTGCAGTGACGTGCTGTCCTGAATCCCGCAGCACATTCTCAGCCTTGCATCTAAACATGCATATGTATCTGACACAGATGGGCTTGTCTCAACAGTGGCTTGTCTTCACTTGCCCACTGAACCAAAATCTTATTTTAAAACCTAACCCAACAGCAGGGTTAAAACCCTTAACACTTCATTGTCCAGCTTATTAAAGTTGCAGGCTCCATTTACTTTATGCAAGTCTAATGCATTCTTGTAGTCAGCCAGATTTAAGGGAAAGTAAAAAATAAGAAAAAGGAGGATGAATCTTGTTCTACTACAGCTCTGAAACCTGAGGTCCCTTGCCATATTACCTGATGGGGAAATTACCACTAGGATCACTTCCATAAAAAGAAAGATGGGCTTGATTTGTTTCTTCAAAGATCTCCAAGACCCACTGTGGCCTTTCCAGTTGGAATGATCTAGGATGGGGCAAAAACTTCTCCAGAAGCATAAGGGGAAGTGATGGCTTAGATCAGCCAAAGAGAGTTCACTAGGGACAAGAGGCAGAAATCAGACTGGGCTAACTGAATGTGATCTTACAGACATTCGTGTGGCTGAAGGTAAGAGGCTGGAGGAGCAGAGAGGAAGGGAAGAGGCTTACTGCTATTTATAGAAATGTTTAAGAAAATTCAAAACTGTATGATAAACTGTAAGGGCAGAAATGCAGCAACTGCCATCTTGGTTGTCTCCCCGGTTCTCCATTCTGCCCCTCCTATATGCAGTTTCAGAGGGGCTGACCTCGGTGCCAGTTCTGGGGTTAAGTTCTCATTGGCATCGGCATGCCAATATTAGCCCTACCCTTGCAAAATTACTGCTCCAAGAAGGAAACATACCCAAGGCCATGGTGATCAGCTCAGGGGTGGGCATGTGAGCTAAGTTGCCCAACCAGAGCTCGGCACAAACTCTGGTCTGTTGGACTTGGACCAAGAAACACGTAGCTCAGGGTCCTAGTCACCCTGTAGCCATCAAGAGAGGGGGAACCAGACATGGGATGATGCTAATCACGTGGTAGTTAGAACAGAAAGATGGGTCTTTGAGGACCCTGCTGAGCCTCTGAATTAAGCCCACCTTGAAGGTCACTCTGCAAATGAACTTGCCGCTTACCTGACCCAACATATTTCTTCATTATTTAAGCCATTTTGAATTAGGGTTTTCTATGTTTGCAAAGGAAACAGACCTGGGCAATAGCCAGGTGACTGAATGGCTGGACTTCTGCAGGCCCCAGAAAGTAACCATCAACGCTAAGTGGTCACTCAGATCCAAGTGTAGTCACCACCGCACGGTCTTCCCTCTGCCTGGGGAGCTCTGAGCCCTGGAGGACTGGTGGCAAGAGCAGGGAAGGCTAAGCCAGTGACCACAGGGATCTCCTCTGGGCCAGAATAAATGCCCTCAGTGTCCTGCAATGACAACATTAAGAAACCACTACCCCTCTTCCTTGCCCATTTATGTTATTTTTATTAGAAAGCAGAATAAAAATCTCAACCAGAGCCCAAACCATTCATTCATTCAGCAACTGTATATGAAGATCACACAGGCCTTATTCAAGTCCCAGGCCCTATTCAAGTCAGAAAAATAACAGTCATCAATACTGGCGTGGTTCCTGCCTTCATGGAATCTACAATCTAGTTGAGAAGACAGATACTGAGTAACTGCAAGTGTGTTAAAAAAAAAAAAAAAAACTTCATGAAAAAGAAGGTACAACAGGCCACCATCAACCATATAAAGAGGACAGCTAACCTAATCCAGGGGTCAAGGCAGGGCTCATTTAAAACATCACATTGATGCTGGGATTTAAAAGCCTAAGTAGGAATTAGCTACAGTGGATGTGGAAACGGAGTGTTCCAGACAAGGAAAATGGAATCCAAGGAAGACCAGGGAATTTAGACAGTTGTGGCTGGTGTGACAACTGCAGGCAGTGGTGGTGTGACAAGGAAAATGGTGAGATCTGAGACTGGAGAGGTCAGTAAGGATGCAATTATGTAGGTCCTTGAAAGCCTGGTTAGAGTTTGTCTTCTATTCCAAGCATGACAGGAAGCCACTGAAGAATTTGCTACGGTGGTGTGACATGATCAGATTTGTATTCTTAAAACATCACACTGATTTCAGAGTGGAGATTAGATTGAAAGAGGGCAAGAGAAGTCTGGGTGAGAGTGGACACTGGCCTGAGTTAGGACATAGCATGGAGACGAAGAGAAGTAGACAGACACATTCCAGAGGTGTGGTCAACAGGGCATGGAGGCTGACTGAATGGGGATGGTGGGAGGGCCAAGTACGTGGTGGTCTCGAGCCCCCACCCACACCTGAGCACACACCGGAAAGGTGAACACAGGGGCGCTGGGCTCTGTCCCGAGGGTCCCAGTGAAGCTGTATATGAGTCATTTCTACCCTACCTGCCCATGTGACTTTTATTCACTACTGCTCACATCATTTTGCAGGAAGAGATTTTTGTTCCTCTAGCAATATGAGGACAGAAACAGAAGAAACTGGAACAGCATTCCACAACAGTCAAGTGATCACAAACAACGTATGAGGGGCTTTCTTTTTCCTGTCAAAGGACAAGTACAAGAGGGAACTGCATACCTGCTTCAGGTGTGCATTTAAGCCTTCATGCGTGGCCTTCAGCAGCGCCCTCACCGTGAAACTATCGGGATCTTCCTTGTCTCGAATTTGAGATTCTTTTAACAACGACTCCAGTTTTTTCCTGATGAAAGATTCCACCTGATGCTCAGTGGTCCCGTTATTCTGCAAAGAGTTAAGCAAAGGAAACAATTTCCCTTAAGAAACACAGAGTCACTTAGAGCACACCCTTCACTCAAGCCGCGTGGCTTCTGTAGCTGATCTCTCCATCACCTGTAAGATGTTAAGAGTGCTGTACCACTGTTGTCCTTCTCCCCCAGGCCTCCACCAATCCCATAAAATGGTGATTAATATAACAACATTCAACTTTCAACATCCTTATAGTCCTATAATCATTTCCATTTCAGAGATGCAGAATCTGATGCTTAGAGAAATTAAGCGAGTTGCTCGAGGTAACAAAGCTAGTAAATCACTGAGGTAGGATTCAAACTCAGGGCTCCTAAGCCCCTGCCCCTGTGCTATTCCCCGCTTTCACTAGAGGGAAGGCCTGGCAAAGTTTTTGGAGACTATGTTTTCTGTGTCTACACAGGTAAATTTGAGCAAGAATATGCTATTTAATGCTCAATATCTTGCAATAACGTCTAATGAAAAAATATGAAAACAAATTTATGTATGCATATGCAAGACGGGGACAGTGTGCTATGCACTAGAGACTGACACATTGTAATTGACTGTACTTCAATATTAATTAATTAATTAATTAATTAATTAAAATTTGCTATTTAAAATAAATCACTTCTTTTACAGAGGGGAAAAGAATGCTATGGAAATCTCTGGAAATGAGGGTTATTTCAAGATAAAATATCTTTCCTCTCTGCCCCACTGTGTAATTGGAGGGAACTCACCACTGCCCTGTGCCGTGATTCATCCCTATACTTAACGATCTCAATTAATCTCAAATGTTTTGGTTAACGAAGCTCTGCCCGTGTCTAGATGATGACTTCCACAATTTTTAGGTGATCCAGGTACACAGATTGCCTAGAGGTCTTGCTTAGCACAGCCTTCTGGCCACCTTGTCCTACCTGAAACCAATGACCCAGACTCTGCTCACTGCTCTCCCTTCCTCCACCCTTTTCACCTCTCCCCATGTCCAGCACCCTCCGTAAATTCTTCAGCCACTTGCCAAAGGCCAACCCACCCCAAGGTAAGGAAAGGGGCACTCCTCCACCAGAATAATTTCCCTAGTTCTCACCAAAAGTTTAAGACTCGTTTTTCCACTTGCAAATTTGTTACTAAGAGGTCATTAAATTTAAATTCTACAGAATGAGCAGTTTTTCAATAACACATAGTAACACAAAATCTTCTAAGAGCAAAGCTATACAAACATAAAAGGAAATTTGGAGAAAAAAGGCTACATCAGGATAGATTATTTAATTTCCCTATAATAATATCATATGCATGAGTATCTTTAATATATCCAGTGAATGAGGCACTTCACCTCACTGGAGGCCCTCAGGGCCTGAGGAGACACAAAGATGGAAAAGAGCTGGTCCTTGACATCACAGGAGGAAGCACCCTATTAGGCTAGCAAAGGCATGTCCCCAAATAGCCTACTCTGGTCTGCCCAGCGGCCTGCAGAGGCAGATGACCAGTACAACAGCGGTTCTGAGAAGGAACATGGCATCCCCACCTAGATGACCAAGAAGACCTCAAAGAAGTGGTGGGAATGCCCTGGGCTTGGCATGGTAACTACAACTTAACACTGATGAAGGGATGGGTTTCCCTCTCCTCCATCATTCTAGCAAAGCCTGTTTTATAAACACAGGAACAGATTAGTCTCCCTAAAGTGGAAATTCATGGAGGATGGTAGTGGCAGATAAAGATGGAAAGGCACTTTGGGGCCAGGTTGTGGAGACACCTGAAAGCAAGAGGTATGGAGTCGCTGAGAGTCTCTGGGTAGACAAGTGTCTGAGACGTACTTTAGAAATATTATTAACCTGGCAGCATGTGCAGGAGGAGGAAAGGTACCTACAGATGAAGAGCCAGACACATGGTTCCCACCATGAGTAGTAAGAGCCTAGGCCGACGTGCTGGTGGGGGATTCAATCAAGGTAAGAGAGTTTGAGAGTGTTCTGCATAAAACAAACAGGTATTGAGTGGCTCTGCCAGGTTACAATGTTAACAAGGTGCAAACCCACTGTCACAAAACTCTCAGTGTCGTGGAGAAGCCAGACACATCGGAGGATAATTACACAACAGCGGGGAGTAGAGTGACAGATGGGCACACGGAGGAGGGGCCTCTTGCCCAGCCTTCAAAGGTGAGTGTATGAGGTTCCTGAGGCTGCTGTAACAAATTACCACAAACATGGTAACTTAATACCAAGAGATACTTATTTTCTCACAGTTCTAGAGGCCAGAAGTATGAAGTCAGCTGTGGGCAGGGTACACTTCCTCCTCAAGGGAAAAATCCTTCCTTGCTCCTTCCAGTTATGGTGGTGCCAAGCATGTGGCAGCAGAGCTCCAGTCCCCGCCTCTGTCTTCACATGGCCTTGTCCTCTGTGTCCCCACTCCAAACAATAGCAAAGGGGGAGCTGCTCTCATTGATACACATATACACACACACACAAAAAGGACACACCATTGTATTTTTAAGGCTCACTCCATTAATCCAGAATGATCTCATCTCAAGATTCTTAACTTAATTATATTTACAAACACTCTTTTTCCAAATAAGGTCACATTCATAGGTACCAGAGGGTAGGATGTGGACATATATTTCAGGGGCCACAAATCAACCCAATGAGATGAGTAAGAGTTGATGATCTTGCCAAGAGCAAGGTGACAGCATTCCAACATGAGCAATGGCCTGGAGAAAACAGCATTGATGAGAACCAGGAGCCATGCGAACATGGAGAAAAGAGCACAGGAAAATACAGAAAAAGCAATTAAGACGACACGTATGTTGTGCTAAGGCTCACAAGGCACTGTCATGTAACAGCGCTTCATTTGAGTCGCCCAACACCCTTTAAGGTGGCACAAGGACTAGCCAAATGTTCCTCTTGGTGATGCAGAGGCAGAGAGACTGTCCAAACACACTTGCCTATTAAGTAGCTGAACTGGAACCTAAGATTTTTGATTCAAAATTCTATATATATTTCATCATGCAGTGTGGCAGCCATCCCTTTTATACTGTTACAGAAAAGAGATAAATTCTTGAGTCAAGTGAGCAGGCTCATATTTTAAACAACTGTTATTCCTGATGACACCTGGGCTATCTCTCACCACAATCCTTCTGTGGAAAAACAGTAGGTTTCACTTAAGGTCAGCAGTGAACCTGAGAAAGGAACTCCAGGTCTCGAATTTCCAATGCGTTTCATCAAGGGACCCAGAGCCTGGCAGGGAGCATGTTTGTTGGGGAGTTCAAAAGACGAAGTGTGTGAGAGCACCTAGCGTGCCGGGGTCACACAGAACACCCCCAGGAAGCATCAGTTTCCTTCCCTGGCTCGGGGCCATGAGAGGAGTTGGCAAGGAGATGAACTGTGGCAATTACGCCCAAATACTCACCATCAGCAAAACAAGGCTGAAAATATAAAGCTGGACCGACTGGTGCTGGTGAAATAATGCATGCTTAATACAAAGGCTATAATTATTCACTTCACATCCTCTCAACACCGGGAGTTGCTGAAGGAATGATATTTCTGCCTGTTGATCTTTTTCTTCCCTGTGACTTACAGGATGAGAATAAATTAACGTGTGGCTGAGGTTTCATTAACATATTTATCATTTGGCCTGGAACTCAGTAACATTAGTGAGAGAAAGCTGAGGCAGACACCTGACCTGGCAACCTGTCACCCACTGTGCAGCTGCAGCAGGGACCACAGCTGGAAGCCACATGCATCTTGCTCTTCAGTTCCCTGAGCCAGGGGGAGAGGGAGGGTGCTGCAGCTGGAGCGGGAGGAGGGGAGGGTGGCCTTTCCACGTCTGGAGTAGGTCCCGCGTGAGAAGCAGTCAGGGTTCCTAATTCCCATTTTCACAAGAGAAATATGATCTAGGAATATCTGCCACAAATAAACATATCCAACACTGCACAAATTCTGATTTTGTCTCCAGTGAGAAATGAAAGGATCACTGGGAACACAGAAGGCTGACCACTCCAGGCTGGGAAACAGCAGGAAAGGGGAGGGAGTGGGCGAGAGGGGCTGCCCCCGAGAGAGGGAGAGGGGACTCTCCCACAGCTGCACACAGGGCTCACTGGGGAGAGCAGCAAGATCCCAGGCCATGCCCTAGACCAACTACAAGGCAATCTCTGGGGTGGGACCCACGCACTGGGATTTTGGGAAGCTTGCCTGTCATTTCAATGTGCAGCCAAAGTTGAGGATCTTTGCTTTAAAACACAAAAACAAAAAACCAAAACCCTAGAATACCTCACCCTTCCAAAATGCCTTTTTTCCCTCTCTGGGCTAAAGTCTGCAGACAGGAAGGAGGGCCAATTAGCTGCCCTTTGTGAGTGCAGCAGAGCTTTCCATGTGAGTCACCTGAGTGTTCCCGGATGAAGAGCAGCCGCTTCTCAGGCATCTGAGGCTGCACATTTATTCCTGTCCTCTCCTGTCGCCTGCTTGGTCCTTTCACTCCCTGAAAACACCTTCTTCTACTCAAGGAGCAGCTCAGGCCTTGCATTAGCGATAATCATGCCGCGGCTGCTGTTCTTGACACTGACTGCATCTAAGGTTTATTGAGCACAGGTTATGTGCCAGGCATTGTTCTGAGTTCTTTACAGGCAATGAACTTACTAATAGCTCTCACAATCATCTTTTTCCTTTTTTCCCCTTCAGTTAAATAACCATTTAGCTGAATCTGATTTAAAGGAATAATTTCCTTCCTTTAGTACATAAAAAGTCAAATTTATGCCACTATGGCAAAGGATGAGAGTGACTCGTATTTCCACTCATTCCTTCTTTTTTTTTTTAAATTGGAGTATAGTTACAATAGTGTATTAGTTTCAGATGTACAAAAGTGCTTTTCCTTATAAAGCCCATTAACTCAGTTGCTTTCAGTACGAATCAGACAGAATTTAGAATCCTTATTCTTTCTGTTCATCTCAAGATAGTCTTCAAATAGTAACAGCTCTTTTAATTAAATAGTAGAGATCCCAGGAAGGTAAAGAG